GTCGTTCGCCCGGGCGCACCTCGGCCTCAGCTCCGCGGGTCAAGGTTGGGGTCGCGTCAACCTGGCAAAGCCCGCTGGGTCCGATCGGGGTTCGATTTCCGAGCCCGTAATATACCCGGGTCGGTTCGGCTTTGACCCAACCGCCGACACCCGTGACCCAAAAATTGACACCCCTCGTTATAATATTAAGATTGAGATAGATTAAACTATTATAAACTAGGTGGCATATATAAATATATTATTAAAAAAAAAAAACCAAAACGTTTTTTATTTAAAAGTATCTCCCACATTAATAATTTAGGCTTCGTTTGTGTCAGTTTTTCTTTTCTGTTTTTATGAAATAATTTTTAATACAAAAGTTATTTTATTTTAAAATTTTTGTACTAAAAAGTTACTTCATAAAAGTATTAAAAAAAAGTTATCCCAAACAAAATTTAAATTATAATAAATAATCACTAATCACAAAAAAAGGTCTAAAAATTAGGCAAGAAGTAAAACAAATAGAAATGTGGTTGAATGAGGTATTATAAATTTACTTTTCCTTAGGAAAAATGAACATTTTTTCTTTTAAAAACTACGCGCATAATAATAATATTTAAGTAAGAAAAATAAGTTCTCTTCAGAGGAATTTTTTTAAAAAATAGCAACAGAGTAGAAGTTCTTTTATTTCTTTTTAATGTAATTTTTTAAAATATTTTTTTTTTTACTTAAAAAAAATTATACTTAATAAATAAATTTAAAAAATAGTAAAGAAAATTATAAATATTGGTTTAGAATATCTTTTTTACTTATTTTAAATGACTCTTTAATATAATTTTTTTTAGAATATATATTAAAAAATATAAACAGTAAGAAAGCAACCAGTAACACATTAATCAAAATCCAGTGAGTGCACGAAAGAACATTAGGGATAGATTCCCTTTGCAGGATTATGTGATCTCTCTCTTGGTGGTCAGAAGATAATCTTTCAGCTATCGTATCAAATGGAGAGAAATGTAACGGGTAAGCTTCTTTTGAAAATATATTCATATAAATTAATCATATTTTCATTTTAAATATACAATTGCTTTTATTTTAGAAATTTCATTTCATGAACAAGAAATATTTTATATTTGTCCATGTTTGTTAGATTGATTGTTTAGAATGTTCATGAACAAATTTAATTTTTGCTTGTTCAATTGATTGTTTGCGAAATATGTTCACAAACATAGCTTGTTTAAAGCTCGATAAGCACTAAACAAATGAACATGAACCAAACATGAACACCCTTAAATTAAACGAACCAAACATGAACACAAATAATAAAGCTCGAATCAAACACGAACCAAACATGAACAAGCTAATGTTAAACAAACACAAACATGAACACTCACATACTCGGCTCGGCTCGGTTCGTTTGCAGCCCTAATAGAAATGAAGAAGTATTAAACCCACCGAGCTCTCGGCGAATTATTACGTCCGGTCACCGGAAACATCTAATTTAGACGCGTCATATCACTCAAGTCCGGTGTATTTTGGTGATGTGGCGCGTCTGGATTGGTGTCCGGAAGAATCCGGACACCGGACGTAATAATTTGCCCCGAAGAACAGGGTCATTGATGGGCAAGCATGAGTGAGAACCACCATCCCGGATTCGAATCTCTTCTATCACAGCTTTCACTCTTCTATATATAGGGCAAAGTAAATGTGAGCCCGATGTCGATAAATGGCCTCGCTAGATTCTTTAGAGTTGCAGCCGGTATATATTCCCATTCCTCAGTCTTACGTATATGATTTGTGTGAGAATTTATCTTAATTGATCTAAATATTTAAAAAAATATATTGATCCAAAATTTATTTTAAGATAAATATAATAAATCTATAAATTAAATTATTTACTTTTCTAAAATTTAAATTAGATTTTTTTTTTTTGCAGAAGTGTTATTCCAGACGTTAAGGCCTCTACGTTAAGAAGATTTAAGATTCTTTTGGACTACTTTTTTTAATACTTTTTAAAATAATTTTTTTAATGCATAATTTTTTTGAACTATAACTATCACAAACTAAACATAAGACTTCAACTAAATTAGCAATAATAAAAATGAAATAATACAACCATTTAAATTGACATTGTTTTCCTATTGAAGCTTACTGCTGCTTCAATTATTTTAAGCTTCATTTGGGGCAGCTTTCTTGCTGCTTTCTAAAGCAATTTTTTATATAATTTTTTTTAACTAATTTTTTTAATACTAGAAAGCAACTTAAAAAAACAGTAAGTAAACTGTTCCAAATGAAGCCTAAAATACACTCCAAATTAAACAACAAAAAATTATTACGTGCAAGTCCGGATTTGTCCACAATATTAATCTAACACATCTCATTCTTCTCAAGTGCTGACCACCTCATCTCTACCCCACATATATCTTCTATCTCCAAATTAATCTAACACTTTTATAAGCCTAAGGCTTTGTTTGGGACGGCTTTTTTATTGCTTTCTAAAACGGAGTTTTAGTACAAAATTTTTTATTTTTGTACTAAAACTCCGTTTTAGAAAGCAGTAAAAAAGCTGTCCCAAATAAAGCCTGAGTATGTACTCTAATAACATTTTTTAGTTCTTATAATAGTCGTCGTAGCAAAATAATATCCATTACAATATCCCTTTATTCAGCTTTAGTTAATGAAAAAGTTATGGTCATTTGTTTCTTGATGCACTAAGGTTTCGTTTTGGACAACTTTTTTTTTTGCTTCTTAAAGCAATTTTTTAGACAAAAATTTTAAAAAATTGTTTTAAGAAACAGTAAAAACTCAGTGAGAGCATATTTATAATTAGACCCATCAGATTGAGGATTTCATCTGCTGCGAAGAAGCAATCAAGAATTGGTTAGAATTACAGTAGCAACGATTTATGATAAGAAATACTGTAAGTTGGTTAGATCAAGACTTACGCTGCTGTGAGCAGGAGCTCTCATTAATTCCCTTCTACTACGTGAAGCTATCAACTTTGTTGAGGTTTTCTGATGCCATTAATGTAGTTCTCCTTCATCATTCTTAAGGCTGTAAATAACATTTATATTGAGATAAAAAATGCAAAAATAATAAACAATGCCATAGAACCTTCGAAACCATAAGAGTGTTCAATCCAGTTAGTCAGGCATTCAATCAAAATCTTCTCAACTTATGAAGAAATGGTTCCTCCAGTATCTTTAGGTTCATGAAAAATCAAAAAAATATATATATATATTTCGGCACTAACCATTAATGGCAGAAGTATATAACAGATATTGAAGTTATCATCATCTTCACCCATGGCTGATCAGTCAAGAACTTGATTGAATGTTGCTTTAATTGTTGATCAATTACACTTCATCCTAATAAATTGATGAAGTTTCTTAATGGATGTTGGCATGATCCAAGTGGACTTTTTTACTATTGGAGTAGAATATGAGTTTCTAAAAGACTCAATGAGTGTATCTATTGCGATTAAAACAATAAAATTATTTTCTTCACGACAACTTCATAAACAACTTTATAAGAATCTATGCCCCGAGGCTAATACTTGCTTCATCTACTACTTAGGTTTTGTTTGGGATGAATTTTTTACTGCTTCTTAAAGCAATTTTTTAGTATAAAAATTTTAATTTTTATATTAAAAAACTACTTTAAAAAGTAGTAAGAAATCATTCTCAAACGAAGGCTTAATTAGCCACCTGATAACAATCATTTTCTATTAGCTATATCTATAAAGACTGTGAAAGACAGCATCAAATTTTAAAGATCATATTAATAAAAAAATTTATTAGACCATTCTCACATTTTTTTTTTTGGAATACACAGAAGCTTTTAAAATCTAAATCATTACTCATTAATTAATCAGCCACCAACCCCACAGCCTCCATAAACTCCTGGTCCTCAACCAAAACATTGAGCACCGCCGCCGGCAAGCAAACCTCCAAAGCCATACTCCCTTCCCCCTCCCTTCCTGGATAAACCGTCACCTTCCCGTCCACCTTATTCCCATTGCCGCTCCTCACCTCCGCCGGCGATCCCCATCCGAAGTCATTCCCAAACACATCAAACCTCGGCGAACTCCCCGTCACCAGATTCGTTCCGTTAAACTTCTTAGTCATCAAAACCGGTTTTTTCGCCCAATCTTCAAGCCATTTTATGGCATTTTCGTTGGTCGCTGACGCCACAACCTGGTTCAGCTGTAAAGCCGCCCAACCCAAACCGTTTGCCGCCAGTTCGCAGGCTAAAACCGTAGCTGGAAGTCCAAGCGCAGCGTTGCCCATATATGTTTTAGGAAGTGGCGGTGTAACGCGGTGGCGGTGGCCGGCGATCAGCACGTAGGTGGTCTCTACGTGTGGCTCTAGCCCTCGTGCGCGGGTGGCCGCGCGCCACATGTGGGCGAGCAATGCCTGCAGCAATGAAATGACAAGCATTTGTGACACGATATCCTACTAAATTCGTGAATAAATAAAAATTCTATACGCGTTTGCTTAAATGGCCCTATTTTGTGAAAAAATAATCAAAGCCCTTATTACAAATAAGAAGCTTATGGAGATGATCTTCAAAGTTTATTTCCATATGCAGAGCAAATTTCTATGGTGAAATCAAAACACTAATATTAGGCAGCTCATATTGCGAGTTTTGACTATCAACTAAGAGGTTTTGGTTCTAGTCTTGCCTATGTATTGTATGGGTGAGTTCATCATAATTAGCCTAAACATCCCCTAAAAAAATCTAGCAGCCGGGCTCGCTCAAGCATGCTTGTTTGAGGTATAAAATGTTCTCGCTCAAACCTGAGTAATTTGTTTTATTAATTTCTTGTTCAGCAGCTTCATAAGTTGAGAACTTTTCCTTTTCTTCGTAAGACCATACATTTGACGTCATTTAATTATAATTTTTTTTCTTAATATTCATTAATTTTTTTTTTTGCTTGAAAATCAACTTTAATAAGAGTACTCGTTTCAGATATCTTGGTTCTATTGTTCAGAGTGATGGTGAAATAGATGTGAATATTATCAGAAGAATTCAAGTTGGATGGTTGAAGAGGATGAATGCATCGGGCTTATTGTGCGATAGAAAAGTCCCCCTCAAACTTAAGAGAAAATTCTATAAGATGATAGTGAGACCTTCAATGTTTTATGGTGCCGAATGTTGGTCATTAAAAGAGAAGCATAACACTAAGTTAAGTGTTGAAGAGATGAGGATACTTGGGTGGATGAGTGACTTGACCATTAGAGATAGGATACAAAATGAGCATATACATGAAAATGTTGGAGTACCTCTAGTGGAAGATAAGATTAGAGAGAATCGTCTTAGATGGTTTGGTCACATTAAACGGAGTCCTTCCGATGACCCGATTAGAAAAGTTGAGGTATTAGATTCTACTTAGGTAAAGAAAATAAAGAAGTAGACCTAAAAAAGACTTATTTAAAAAATATTAGAAATGACATTTCTTTATTAGATTTAAATGATAATTTAATTTTTAATTGGACACAATGACGAAAAAAGATTCATGAAGCCGACCCCATGATTTTTAACTGGACACATAACCGCTTAACTTAGGAGGGCCCACTCATTTTTAGGAAGCAAGCAAGATTTTCACTATCCTACTTGTTAAAATTTAAAAATATTTGGTTTAAATTTTATAAATTAAATTTTAATAAAGATGAATAAAATTTGGAATTTATTTATCATGATAATTATTATAACTTAATAAATTATTTTTGTTTAATTTAAATTTTAAAATTTATGAGAAACTTTTAAATCTATTAAAATAGGAACTAACAAAATAATAAAATTTAAAGTCTGAACAAAATTTATTTGATAGAACATCAACTAAAAGAATATATAACGTATTCAACATGAAATAAAATAACTAATAAAACCTATGCACCTGCAGGGATGAGATTCTTGTAACTCCCATCTCCTGGTTCGCTTTAGCCTTGAGCTGCGCCACCGCCCGGCCTGAGAAGTGGAAGAAACACTCACTCGTCGGCGGAAGCGGATGCCGGTGAATAAACTCAGACTCGTCTCGGAATGGAAGCGCTATCGGAGGAGGAGTCGACGGAAGAAACCAGTGCTCAGCCACCGGCAGATCTACACCATCAGCATTGGCTCCAGCCGACCGCGTCAGCGCAGACCATGTATTAAAGAAATGCCAAAACGATGTGCCATCGGCCACAGTGTGATTAAGCGAGCAAGCAAGAAACATAGATCCATCGGCGAGGATATTCGCCTGCACGGCGAGCAAGGGAAAGGAATGCCCGTCGTGGTTTACTAAGCCGTCGAGCGGGAAGAGGGATCTAACGGCGGATGGAATGAAGAGTGAGGAGGAGAAGTCGGAGGCTGTGAGATGGGTAGCAGAGGCGTGGATGAACTCGGCGCCGGCGTCGTTGCAGTCGAGAAGGATGGAGAAAGTGGGGTGGTGAACGGTGCAGAGGCGACCGGCGAAGGGGTAGAATAGATCCAGAGTTTGGGAGAAGGAAGAGAGGAGGAGGGGGATGAGGAGAGTTTGGTCGGGAATTGATAAAGCTGGAAAAAGGAGGCCTTTTTGGATGTAGTCGACAGAGAGAAGGTTGAGATCCCACTGGTTCAGATGAATTTGACGGCGGCGGGATTCGACGGCGGTGGGTGGTGGAGATGGGCGGATTAGGTGGCGAGAGAGGATGCGGAGATCCTCTGCTTGAGATTCGGACATGACTGGTTTCTTTACTACTGAAGTTGTCGATCGGTGTAGATAAAAAAACCTTTTTTTAGTGATTTCCTGAACGAGATAAGATTATGCTGCACGATCTGTGATCCTGATTTTTGGTATTATACTATTAGATACGTTTAAACGTAGAAGATGTTAAGGAAAATTCAATTAATTAAACTAGCTTTTGAAATAGCGGTATTGCTACCTATTCTCTATGAGAAACGTACAATTTGAGAAATGCCAAAGAGCTTAATTTAAAACTCGATTAATATTTAAATATTTATATATCTAACATGTATATATATATATATCATTTTCGTATTGAAATCACATTAAAATATGTGAATTTCGCGACATTATAGAGAGAGAAAGTTTAACGTCATGATTTTCTACAAAGTTGGAGCTCATACGACATTTCAACCAAGAATTGTAAAAACTCTACATGCAACTCTTTTCGTCGTCGTGTGATGTTGGATTTGATTGTCCATAGTGTGTCAAGACTATGATCATTACGACAACTAGTCATTTGCTGCAATCCGTCATTCTTCCCAAGTTTATACTTTAATACCAACTGATGTCCTTATAAAAAAAGAAAATACAAACAAGGAGGATTTGCTAAAACAGCCATTCTATATTCATGTATTCTTTTTTTCCTTTTACAGAAATTCTATATACATTTTCTATATCCTTTGATATTTGTTCATATTGAATTTTTATATAGGGTGTAACAACCAAAAAGTAAAATAGTATTCTAATAATATAAAAAGGCACTAACGCAAGTGAAAAAGCTAGAGAAGAAGAGATAATGTTAAACTATCCCAGCACGCTAAAATGCTCCGCATCACCTACCATTTTATAAATATGAGGAAGAATGCTAACAATATTGTAATTTGATGGTATTAGTTGGGCGACGACAATTAGATGATTGTGATCATGTGTTGATAGTCAGGTGATAAAAGTCAAATGATGACAGTTGAACAATAAAGAATGAATTATGACGGTCAGACAACGACAAGACGATGATGATTGAGTGACGATAGTTTAGTGTCAACAATCAGGTGATATTGGTCAGACGATGGCATTAAAAAGACGAATGTGGTGGTCTGCATCAAGCTTCTGATAAAGTTTTTCAAATATCTAATCTCTCTCCAAATACAAATCTAGATCCTCCTCATTCACATCCCTTTAGTTTCAAAAAAAATTTTTTTTTTGAGATTTTACATATATATAATTAAATTCATATATATTTATATTATCTAACTGCTAAAATCAAGTTATTCTATGCGGAGATTGTACACAACATAGTCCGGAGATCAACCAGAATGCGCTACGTTAGCAGTACTGAGCCGTGATACCGATCAAAAGGTGACCTATAGTATTTTGGTTGGTCTCTAGAGACATCCGCACGAGATAATTAATCCTGAGTGAGAGAGAGAATGTAACAAATGAAGAAATATTGAAATAATAAGTCAACGTTATTAAAAACATATATCTAAATTCTTCTATAAAAAATACATAATTTTTTTATTAAAATATATTTTATTTGAAAAATCATATCATCTCTCCCAAATATTAGTCCACAACCTAACTTTTAAAATAAAAAAAAATATAAAGGTCCTATTCTAAAGGCAGAACCTTACTGGAATTTTTTAATTTCTTTTAAAGCTTTTATTTTCATTTAAGAACTCTTTGACTCGCCGACAGTGTAGGAAGGTATAGATATTGGAACAATTATTTGGTTCGGTGAACGTACGCTCCTCTACGTTCGGCCACCAACCTTTTAGCGCCACGTAGCACGAAGAAAAGTCGCCGACCCGACCAGCTATTTTTTGGGTTCTAGAGCGTGCGTTTTTTTAATTCCTTGACGAGCCGATCAACATTCCATCACCTTTTGGATATATTTTAAATATCTAGCAAATACCGAGTTGTACCTAGTTTTTTCTAGCAATACCGAGTAAATACCTAGCAATACCGAGCAAATCCCCTAGCAATACCGAGCAAATCCTGGAGCAAATACCGAGTTTTTTCTCAGCAATACCGAGCAAATACCTTAGCAATACCGAGCAAATCCTTAGCAATACCGAGCAAATCCTGAGCAAATTCTGAGTTTGTACCGAATTTTTTCTAGCAAATACCGAGCAAATACCGAGCAAATCCGTAGCAATACCGAGCAAATCCGGAGCAATACCGAGTTGTAGAAAAACTCGTACAACTTCGGTATTTGTATATTTTTGGGGTTCACAGAGCGGTATTTCTCAATTTTTGCAAAGCAATACCGAAGCAATACGAGCAATACAGAAAATCGCGAACATAGCATTCCCGGGTTCCGCTCCGGGTCAAAGTCGTCGGGCCCGCGCGGTAAAGAGTAAAAGCACGTGGCGACATGTTGATTGGCGGCCGAACGTACCTCTACGTCAGGTCAGAGGACGAATAATTGTTCATAGATATTGAAAAAGAACTATGCTTGTGATTTAAAGGGTAAAGCGGTATGATGAGGAGACACGGGACACGGGAGATGACACGATATGACTGGAAATATGAAACCATATTACTATCGAAAATTATATAATATAAATATGTATGGGATATCTTAAAGTATATATATATATATATATATATATATATATATATATATATAATATATATATATATATATGTATATATATAGTATATAGTACTAATAATATATATATATATATATATATGATATACTATATATAGATATATATGAATTAGTAGAATTGATACGTCCTAAAAAAATTATCTTGATCGGGCATGAATCTCGATGCAAAATCAAATTGGAAACTTTCAAAATTAAATTCGGGATCACCTGAACTCTAATTTCAGCAAACTTATAGTCAAAATGAGCGTCTTAGAAACATGAACCCAACAACATCAAATTCGACTCAATCCGAGCCCAAATGAGTCCAAATTAAGGACCCGAAGCGTTGTTGGAAGCTTCGTACCACAGTTTGAGTTACCAAACGATTTCCAAACATGACGAGCTTATAATCGAATCGAGCGGCACGATGAGACAAATCCAATGAGCTCAAGATCGCTAAATTCTGAAATTATTAAGACCTCCAAATATTTGACGAATGGTACACGATCAAGGGATTCAATTTCGACGTCCATCCAACCACTCCACATTTACCCCTGATCTTTTGTCTATTTAAGAGTCATGTCACTCCATAAAATCTATAAATAGACCCCTCATTTCTCTTGAAAGAGAAGGGAAGCAAGAAGAGAAGAAGAGAAGAGAAGAAAGAAGCTCCTCCTCGACCACCGCCGGACCACCACTTGAGGACCTCATCTCTGTCGGACCACCTCCTGACACCATTGTTCCGCCGGACCACCACTTGAGGCCCTCACCTCCGTCGGACCACTGCCTGACGTCGTTGCTCCGCCGGATCACCACTTAAGGCTCTGTGCTCCAGCAGGCCACCACTTGAGGCCCAAACTCCCACCGGACCACCACCTGAGACCCGTACTCCCACTGGACAACCACTTGAGGCCCGAACTTAGCTAGACCACCACTTGAGGCCCTCGCCTTCCTCGACCACCGCCGGACTTCCGTCGGACCACCACTTGAGGCCCTCATCTCCGCCAGACCACCGCCTGACGTCATTGCTCTACCGGACAACCACTTGAAGCCCTCATCTCCACCGAACCACTGCCTGACGTCGTTGCTCCGCCGGACCACCACTTAAGGCCCTGTGCTCCACCAGGCCACCACCTGAGGCCTGGACTCCGCTGAACCACCACTTGAGGCCTTATGCTCCACTAAAACATCACTTGAGATCCGAACTTCTACCGGACCACTACATGAGACCCTGTGCTCCACCAGAACATCACCTGAGGCCCGGACTTTCGCCTGACCACTACTTGAGGCCTTGAGCTCCACCAAGCCACCACTTGATGCCCAGAGTTCTCCCAGAATACTGTCGACCTCCATCACCAGACAACGAACTTTCTGACCCTGATCTCCTGCCAACTACGGTTTTTCTGACCTCCATCACTTACTATGGTCCATCCGACTTCTATCTCCAGACAACGGTTTTTCCGGTCTCCATCCTACCGACTATGGTCGTGCCGACTAAACAAACATGTCTATAATGTATCTCCCACCATGTAATGCGCTATATATGATGTACATTTGTATCATCAAGCCAAGGCCTTCTCCCAAGGAAGGGCCTCATTTGTAATCGACAAAAATACTAGTGTATTCATTCAAACTGGTCTAGTCCCCGTGGTTTTTCCCACTTTTAAGGGGTTTCCACGTAAAAACTCTGGTGTCTCTTATGAACCATACACCCTCTCTCTTATCTAATTGTGTACTGGATCTTTGTGCAATGCTAAGACGTTAAACTATATATTTCTCTATTGCCGCGAATACTCCAGGACGCAAATAACCTTTAAAGAGTACGCCGGGAATTGGTGATTTAAAAAGTTTTTCAAAAATCTTTTTACTTTAAAACCAAAATTATATTTTAATGGAGAAGCATTTTAATAAACAAAATCACAATTTATAATAACAAAGCAAAACAAATACTAATATTTTTGTGTTTTCGATTTTGTAGAAAAAGCAAATAACAATTTTTTTAGTTCTTTTATCTTTCTTTTTTTGTTCTTTTTAAAACAAATTACAATTCCAATTGACCACAATTATAATCAAACTCAACTGAGATTACAATACACACACACAGAGGAAAGTAAAACTGCATAAAGTAAATGCAAAAAAAGAACACAAATTAATTTTTATAATGGTTCGGTCAACTTTATCTACGTCCACTCTCCGAAGTTCCTCTCTTCAGGTATTGTACTAATCAATAGTTGCTCTCCTTCAGCCCACGACTATGCATAGAAGCCCGTACATACTCTTTGCTTGAAGAATCTCTCCTTTCACGTCTTCGGTCTGGCAAAGACATCGAAGTCTCTTTCACCTCCTTGGTGTGGAGTAGCAGCTAAATTCCCTTTCATCTCCTCAGTGTGGTGGAGTAGCAAAAATCCTTTTCACTTTCTCGATATGGCAGAGTAGCCGAATCCCTTTTACCTCCTTGGTGTGACAGAGCAACCGAAATTTCTTTCACCTCCTCGGTGCGACGGAGCAGTTTAAATCTCTTTCACCTCATCTATAAGGTGGAGTAGTTGAAATCCCTTTCACCTCCTCGATACAGTAAATTAACTGTTTGCCTTTGACATCAAAGGCTTCTTCACATTGCTTCCCTTAAGATAAACACTGACACACGCAGAGGAACTCAGGTGTAAGTTAGTCGGAGCGACTGTGTGAAAACTCCTCTCACAGCATATTTTGCTTGAAATCTTCATCGAATTGATGCTCCGATGCATCAATTTCAGACGTGGTTTAAACGAGTTTTGAGCGGGTTTACTCCACGTGGAAAATAAACTAAATGCTGGAGTTCCAAATACATTAGAATTTTGTTAAATTAAACACCTAAAAATTTGAAACTCATGCATTTACTTTACTGTACACCTTTAAGTATTCAAACCAAATGGACCATAAATAACTCTCATTTTTAACTTCTAGAGTGAACTTTAATTGAATTTTTCATCAATTATAAGAGTAAGATTATTGTGGATCATATTTGAGGAATCACATAACTAATTTTGATATTTAAATAACAAGGACTAAAATGACCCATGACAACATGTCTAATGATCATTTTGACCTTCTCTCTTAACAAAATTATCTCGATCTCACTTAAACGTAATATCAATTAATATTTAACATTTATTACATATACAAAATTCTAAGGTCTAATTGTAAAAAATGATTTATCTATTGGATCAAATGTGTTCTTAGATGATATATGATCTTACTAGCAAGCCATCTTCAAATACAGAAACTTGAGTTTTTACAATGTGAATGAAAAAAGAAGAAAAAATAAGAAAAATATCCAGTGGCCTAAAAAAGACAGAAAACCATAAATATGCATAAGTAAATTTGTATACTCTAAGAGATTCAAAATTTATCTCTTTACTCATTATTTATAGGGATCCAATAGCTACAAAGAAAGCTACATAAAAAGGTAAAGGTGCATAAGTATTTATTGTATGTTGTGGATCGTATATGACATGTGCCTTAGCCTCATAGGTGCTTGATGACTCTTCCACTTAGGCTCAGTCCTCGATCAATGAGCGGGCTGGTAGTTATATTGAAGTGCACTGATGAGTATATATATGTAATTTGATTTCTTAAGAAAAAAACGAGTTACTAAATTTGAAGGGCAAATTCAAAGAATTGAACCCTTGACTTCTTGAGATGCTCATTCCTTGTATTTATGTTGAAGTGTTGATGGTGGCATGCCAATTTTGGCAAGTGCGAGTTGCCTTAAGGGCTATCTCTTGTCGAAGAGAGAGTCCTTTGAGAGTCCAAAAAGATTTTGTACAAGTTCCATGATGCCCCATCTTGGAATCCTTCTTTGATTTGTTCAACTTCAATGAATCAAGTTCTCTGATTAGCAAATGCTCTTGGTGGGGTGAGGTGATAGTCTTGATAGACGTATAATCACTAGAACTTGTTAGGTTTGAGTCCTAATCGAATATATAAGGCCCTTGTAAATAACATGTATGGACATGCATGTACAAGTATACATTATCATTATAAAATCGTTTTATGAAAAGAAGCAAAAAGATTTGTAATCAAACATAATTCAAATATCTATTTGAAAATTTTGTTACAAATTGACTCTTAAGGATTGCTTTAGGGAGGATGCAACTTTTTAAAAAGGTAGGTGAAGAGTTATTATCAGAATATATATATATATATATATATAATATATATATATATATATATTATTGTGGTATCTTAATTTTAAAAAAAAAAATATTAGCAAACAACTTTTATTGGCAATTACCACACTCTAATAGATTTCATTATAAAATACATTTCCTTGACCAATAATATTTACTTAGTAGTTAGGCAAATGTTTGTCAATCAACAATGAAAGGATGCGACAATGAGATAGTCAAGGTATGAACAATTATTACAATCCTCCGACCCATGCAGAGGAACATCCGGTTTTAGAAAAACTCGGTACACCTCGGTTAGGCGTGTTTTGTTTAAAACCGGATGTACCTCTGCATTCTTACACCGGACGAAATAAAAGTTTCCAAGGTGATTTGGGCGTGGCGCAGCTTTATAATATAAAAATGATAATAAGATTGTTATATGAAAATTAATTTCTTTGAAGGTTAATGTAAAGTAGGGGTCAAAATAGGTTCACAAATCGGGTTCGTTGAGTTGGGTTGGGTGAACCCGAATTGACCTAGATCTAAACGGGTTGACCCTTACCTGACCTATTTTTGGAAACGGGTAAAAAAATCCAACACGGATCCAACGTGCTGGGTTAGGGTTGACCCGCACCGACTCGCAAACCCGGGTGAGCTTCGAACTTTTGCCTTGTAAACTAAGAGCTTTGGAAGGAGCTTTGAAGGCAAGCTTGCGAGTTGCGACCTGGCTATGGGGGGAAGGATGGACAAGTTGCCGTGGGTTGCCTCGGGCTTGGCAGAAGCGGAAGCTGGAGGCCTAGATGGCGGACTGACTCGAACAAGTTGTGGCGGGTCCTAGGACGTACAATGCAACAACTAGGCAACCCAAAGCCTAAGACGAGGATGGTTCGCGATCCTGATTGCGAAAGCCGAGCTACCCGAACCGCTCAACTGCAGAAGCTAGGTCACTCGCCTAGGGTTTCTAAACGAGACAACAGGCTCAGTTTCATTTGTCGGGTCAACCCAAACCCGACTCGATTTATGAAATCATTGACTTCGCCAACCCGAACCCGCCCGTATATGAAACATGTTGACCCGCACACCAGAATTTTTTGGTTAGGCCCTGGTTGGGTTTCACGTCATGTAAAATATTGACACCTCTAAATGTAAGCATTATAAAAATATTTTCTCTTAATTAAAAAAATGATATTAATAGATTTAATTAACAATAATTTTTATTATCAAAACATTTTTAAACAATGGTAAAATAATAAGATAACAAATATTTTAATATTTAGTGATTACAAAAAAATTTATATCCGCAATTTAGCCAAATTATCATGTATTGCTTAAAATAAAATTCTAAAAGTTTAGTTGAACTAAATTAATATTTTAGACATCAAAATACATTTTTTTAGTAGACAAAAATCGCTGTGTTCTTAAAACCACATAGTGAAAAATCTCAATAAATATTCAAAAACATTCATAATCTCAATGTCTATAACATATAAAAAGTTACGAGGTGAAAGTTTTATCAATACAAAATTATTCTCATTTTTTAATAACAAAAATAATAATTAATAAAAAATAAACAAAAATATAAAATTATTAAAAATAAAAAATATGGAATATTTCTTACAGCGAGGACGTGCAAATCTTCCAATGGTCGACAAACGAAAATGGCTCTATGGCTTCTAAATTGAACTTTTATTTTCTCTCTCCTGACATTTCTCCTGATTCTCTTAATTCCCCTTCTATTATCCAATTTAGGGAAATGAGAATAAACGCTAAGTAATGAATAAGATATTATATAATAAAGTAGAATAATAATAATATTGTAAAAAATATATAGTTTAATATATAAAAAATCATATAAAATCATATTATATCTTCAAATCCAAAATTCTAACAATTTAGAAAAATATCCATAAATAGACATCTTTATTTAAAAAATTCTGATGAAATCATTTTAAAACGGGCACCCGACGAGTCCTAAAAATCCTTATTTGTATCAATCGATATCAATTTCGAATGATTTTCATCGGTGTTCGAAAATTATTGAAAAAATTTATATAATTAAAGCACTACAATATCAATATATGGAAGAGAAGAGGTTTGCATTTGGACTTTTATGACTAAAAAAAATATTTAGTAGAGTTAATTATAGGTTGTTACAACACGCCGCCCTCTATTGGTTTTTTAAATTTAAATTAATTAGTTTTTAAATTTTCCTTTCTTTTTTTTTCAAAATAAGAAAAAGATGAAAAAAATCTGAATTTTTTTAGAAATATTCAAAATATTTTGTTAGAAAGAAATACTTAATTATACATATTTATTTATTTTAATTAATTTTTTCCTTTTTTATTTTTTTAGGAAAGGAAAAAAATAATTATTAGCTTTAAAAATTTCCAAAATTTTTAGAAATATAAGAAAACCTTTTCCAAACTTTCCCCTCCAAATTTATAAATACCCCTTTTGGCAGTCGAGGAAAAGGCACGGTCTCTTATGTCAGTCCAAATTTTATCCCGTAAATTGCGGGAAATATAGATTGGTAGAATTGAAGATCACCAACAATGATCAAAGCCCAATAATTATTAGTTTGATATGACTTGTTTAATTAAACAAACAGGATGATTTCATATTCATAATTGTGATCCATTTAATTAAGAGGTTGGGTTTAACTTAACTCACAAACTCAATTTTAACTTAATAGTAATTTATTTAATTAATTAACTCAAATCCAGAGTTCTTAATGGCATGCTCTTTTTATTTTTTATCAATTAATTTAAATTTTATAATTAACATATTCCAATTTTTTAATTAAAATTAGTTAACAAATTCACTTATTTAATTAATTTATTAAATAAATCAAATTTGAATCAACTGAATACAAATGGGATCAATTCAGATCAAACCTGAATTGAACCCATTAATCCGTTTTAACACCTATTAGCATTTAGATAAAATAAGGAGAAAAGTCCCCTTTTTTAAAAATTGTGTTGTCGTGCAAACTTCAACAACCCGAAACCTGTGAAATCTCAGCAACAAATCTAATCTTCTGCCACGTGCCCTTTTGTGAAGAAGGGCGAGATCGGACGGGTATCGCTTGTCCAGGTCAGTGTAACTGTGTAAGGACACAGTTAGGGTTTCTCTCTATCTCGGAAACATATGGCCCTGCCCCCTTCGATAGGAACTGGCGCGGTGCCGTTCGGGGCTGCCCTCCCAAGCCTCCCTCTACTATCCTTCTAAGTTTTGTTCTTCTCTCTTCAGATCTATCATTTTTCAATTGATAAAAAGCAAAAAATTCATGAGAAAAACGGAGAAATCTATCTAGGGTTAGAGGAAGGTTTGCTATCTCATACGGGCTACGTATTTTTCTTGTAATTGAAGAGGAGGAAAACAAAAAAAGAGAAAAAATAGAAAAAAAAAGAGAGGTAAGATTATCAGTGATCGAGCAGATGGCGCAAATCCAGGTACAGCACCAAGGGTCTGTCTCAGGTCCTAGCGCGCCGGCGCCGAACGGAAGCGGTGGGGCTTCGCAGTTCCCGTCGACGTCGCTTTATGTGGGGGACCTAGAGGTGAACGTCACGGATTCGCAGCTGTTCGAGTTGTTCAGCCAGGTGGGTACCGTTGTCTCGGTCCGCGTCTGTAGGGACGTCAACACCGGCCGATCCCTTGGCTACGCCTATGTCAACTACAGCAACCCAGTCGATGGTAAATCATTCTTCTAGATTTATTGTGCTTTATTATGAGTTTGTATCGTGATATTTTTGGTGAAATTTGTAGTAGATTTTTCATAGGACGACAAGCCTTATCTTTTTAAGGTACATATGGTACGTAGAGACTTGTGATTATTAACTGTTGGGAAAAAATCTGCACTTGCAATCGTAGATGTAGCTTCGCGCCTTAGATTTCATTATATTCCAGGCAAGGGATGGATTTTTTGTTCTTTTGTATCGTTAATCTATTGGTCGAATCTACAAATTTGAATTGGGCTATTCATTAGGAAGCACTAGTTGCTTGGGTAGAAGTGAAATATAGAAAATAGAATGCAAGTCTTTAGTGAAACATAGCAAATGCTCATTATTTTGTTGAACTTACGTTGAATAAGATCAGAGTAAAAATTGGAAATATGACGACAGTAAGTGGCAGATGGGATGAAGAAATTTTTTCTTGCAATTATACCAATTTTTAGATCTTATTGTTATCTGAACATTATCCTGGACATAACGAGGATACTTAAATTCCTGATATGTAAACAAATAAGCGAAAAAAAAAAAACATTAACTGTTTCTGTGTTGACCTTGCTGCCCTTTTCTACTTGTAGATTTTTTGCATGAATCCCCCTTTCAATGGAACCTTAGTATACTGACTATTAAATATGCATTTTTATATGGGCTTGTGCATTGGAAAAAACAAATTGAAAATTTAATTTAATAGTTGTAGCTCATCAGGTAGTTGATTATCTTTAGTTTTCTTCTCATTTTCTCCAAATTTAATTTTTAAAGAGATATCATTATGTATTTGATGCAGGACTACTTAGATGACATGCATATGGGTTCATTTAGGCATTGCACAACTCTTCGATTAAAATAATTTTAGAATAAAGTTACGAGCAATCCTCAACGAAGATTCAAAATAAATAAAGAGGTAATTTGCTTAGGCGAAATCGCATGCTCGGAGTTCCGAAGTTTTCAAGATAAATAAGAAAATATAACAATACAAAGTAGTAGCCTTCAAAATAATCCCTAATCTAACAACGAGAATTAGGATGCAAATAAAGCACGCTCAATTCCTATGATTACTAAGCTTAGCAAGAGCATTGGGAGGAGACTTTGCGACTACAATCACACCATTGAGAACTTGGACTTAAAGAAATAAGATGCAAGTGTAAGAGAAAACCTTTGCTAAGGAGTGGTAGAGATTCCCCACGATAGCAACTTCTCTTTGACGAATATCCAAGTCAACGCACGAAATTGTTCTCTTCGTAGTTGGCTGAAATAATAGTTCCCATCCTCCTAAAATCTGGAAAGACCCCATCAGTATTTCAGTGTATATGTTGAAAGGTTTGAATTCATTTTAAGCTTAGAGGTTTTAACCTTGATTTAGTCTTGAAGGAAGCTTTTATCAGATTTAAATTTAAATGAGAATTTGACTCTTTATAGGACACAATGGAGAAAAAAGATTCATGTAGCTGGCCTCACAATGTGGGATAAAGGCTTGTTGTTGTTGTTATTCTTGAAGGAAGCTCTTTGAGTTAATTTTCTACCATATTTTTGTTGTTTTCATGTGGTTTGAAACCTATATCATTGACTTTTTTTGTTAATTTCGTGATTTTTATTTGGCTTTTGTGTATTATTACTGTAAAACATTTTAGGATGCATTAATGTGAATTTTGTTTTGAACTGCTTCTGGTGCAACATGTCCATGGTGCTTTTTTGGTCCATTTTGATGCGTACATCTTTTGTAACCTTAATGAATTTGAATTGTGTCGTGAATATTTCGCTTTATAAAACATTTTGAATTTGGAAGTCAATATTTTGGTGAGCCAAACCATGCGTATTTGGTGCCTTACTGATTTGAAATCAAGTTAATCTAACTTGAGAGTGAAACTTTATACAAAATGGTGGTACATTATCAATGTCATTCCTCATTGAAGTAATTGTTCCTCTTTTGTTCCATGTGGATCTAGTGTTTCATGGGATGGTTTTGCATTCAATTTCTTAATGGGAAATAATGGTGTGATTTGTGTCGGCAAAATACAAGTTGATTGCATAGGTATTTTCAATCTCGTAAGCAATTTTTTTTTGATATCACGACGCTATATATACTAAATGTTTCTAACTTCCATGCACCAGTGCTGATAAAAATCAAGATAGGTATTATAGATAGAAGTTTTTTTCTTGGCTTGCTATATGTCTCCTCTAACCCTAGGCCATGTTCGTCCACTGATAGTTCTTTCTATAATATGTAATAATTAAACCTTCAATTTATTTTTAATTATTACAAATATGCTAAGTCAACCATGCAAGGTCTTGTATAAGTGCATGAAATTGTAGAAGTTAGATTGTGTTTTTTTATGGATTTAGACAACCCCAGGTGCATGAGTCTATCCACGCAAAATTAACATAATCCGCACAATATGTTGCTGTCTTGAAGCACCAAACATAATGAGAATATATTTAAGGTGAGAGATAGAAAAAGGGTTTATTTTTGGGAAATTAACAATGAGTGTGCAAGGGTGGTGGCAGAATGCATCTAGCTTCCCACCATTTTGTCAAGCTAGTTCTCTTTAGTGTATTGTACTTGTTTCTTGATTATTACCAGAATGACAAACTACTGCTATTAAATGCCATTGTTATTAAATCATAGTGAAGTACAAACGTAAAAAATTAAAGCGAAGTGCTTCCCTTCGCCTAAAAGTGTTGATCAGAATAAATGCTTGTTCTGAATGGTTAAGAGTTCACTTTAATTATATTTATTGTTTGCAAAAAGGGTGCTGTTTTTTTAGAGTATATATGATTTGCTAATTTTTCATTCTTTTTAGGTTATTCTTGTGTCATTTTTTCTTCATTTTCATTAGTTTTATATATTCATTGTTGTACACTTCTAACAACCATCCAATTGCTTTTCATTATAAATTAAAATGTAAATATTGATTTCCTTTGTCTTCTTGATATTTATTTTTTAGCTTGCTTGGTGCTCATACTTTCTCCACTTATTTTTTTAGAGGAATGATATTTTTAGTTGCCCTTTTTCTGAACATTCAAGTTTTTTTTTTTTTAATTTTTATTTGATTTGATGTTTCCTACATAATACGCAGTGCAATGTCCTAGTAATGTACTTAGTTGGCTTAATGATATATTTTAATACTATTTCATGTAATTTGATTAAATATAGTAGAGAATAGAGATTAACTAAGTTTTACTTTGCTGTTTACTGTGTTTGGAAGCAAAAAAAAAAGAAGAAAATAAAATAAAAGGAACTATTCGAATCAGCTAAATGTTTGACATACTTGTGAGTTTTATGGTCATTGACAGTTTGGGCAAATAGGTTCAATTGATTGGTTTCAACTTGTGTACCCCTTCTCGATTAAAATGCTTGAAGAATATATCCGAGCTTCCCTTTTTTACATCTTTCTCTAGCTGATTGTCAGTATGTTTAAAATTGGATTTTGTGAGGAGGATGTTTAGTAATAGAATTAGTTCGAATTACACAAGCAGTTTGATGATGTGTTTCTATCTTTTATTTCAGCTTTCCATATATAAATTTAGAATACATCATTTGTATTGGTTTTACCATTGAATAATATTTTCAGATTGTGGTCATGTGACAAATATTGATTTTTTTTTTTCAATAAATTCAGTGAATGGCGTTTATCCATAATTTTAGTTGTGGTAAGTAACCAAGGGACCGTCTAAAAGTTAAGGTGGAGTTCATATGAAGTTATTAAGTTTTGTGCTGGTACTGGTAGCTTTATAAGGTGGATCAAACTAGCAGAACAGGTAGATAAACCTTCATTTAGAGGTTTTAGAATATTGGATTCATTGTTGCAGGAGAGAACCATCAGTGAAAGTCAATGAAAATTTAGTCCTTACTAGTTAAATAAGACAATGTGTAAACCTGTATTTTATGTGAAGCTTGATTGCAGGATGTGGATGTTAGGCTCGTGGTGTGGAGAGGTTTTGGGATATTAAATTGAATGAATGAGGTGGAGAGGAGGCACCTATGGTTTAGTGTAAATCATTTTATGAGTGAATGTAGAGGTTGTGAGAAGTAGTTAAGAGTATTAATTTTCACTTTTCCCTATGAAATTACATTATATTCTATTGAAAGTTAAGTTCTAATGATTGATAGTTAAGTTTTAATGGAATCATTCGTTGGAAATGTTCAAAATGGTCAAGGAAATGTGTTAATAAAAACTAATAGAACATTTATTGTATCTTATTTGACAAACAAGGCCTAGCCAAATTGTCCATTGGAGTATATACCTGTAGTATTCAAGGGAATATGTTATTGAAAGCTAATAAAATACGTGATAATGTTTGAAGATAACCTAAAGCAAGGGAGCGGTCTTACCAACTTGTAAACAATAGAAGGTGGCCCTTTGGGAACTTATTTAGTTAATCTGCTTCCTCCATTCATATGACTTTAACAAAACCCCTAGCAATGCTATAGGTATCTCCTAGCAGCTAGACCATTTCTTTTGAAAATTTGTGTAGTAATTAATGTAGATTGCCTGTGTGCAGTAAGCCCATAATATTATTTTGTATAAAATTAATGCGGGTCAACCCAAATGTTGCAGCCATCCCAATTGATGTGGCTGAAACAGTTGTTATAGCAATTTCAGATGATTTGGTTTGCAAAATGATGAAGCCAATTCCGTTTGTAACTTTTGTTTAGCATTGCATTGAACCTTGATATAGTCAGCAAGATGATTTGTGGCTGAACCATCATAGTTGAGACCTATGGAATTGTTGACCTGCAGTCCTGGAGATCCTCGTAGATCAATGCTCACATCCCTTCTTCCTCATTTGAGAGAGTTAATTTGCTCATGTAAACTAAGCTCATACCATGATTGCAGTTAAGGATGCTCCTATTATGTTGCCATTGACTTGACCTCGATGATGTAGTTGACCCAATGGTGTTAATTGATTAGATAATTTAGTCAACCCATATATTGTGGTCCACCTAGGTAGAAACTAACTAAAATA